TCTTGGTAAGGTTTTTAATGAGGTAATCATGAATTATAAATTTAAAAATTAATAAATAAATAATTTTTTATATAGTTCGCGTGTTCATTTCAAATTTCAAATTGTAATGTGTATATATATATATATTAACAAAAAATAACTTAATGTTAAAAAAAAAAAGTTTAAATAATTCAAGCAATCTAATACAAGCCCGCGGCTCGTTCAAGGTGAAATTCAGGCTCGGGCGGCTCGGACTCGGGCTCGGACAAAAACTCGGGCTTTTCGGGCGGTCGTGGGCGGCCCATCCAAAGTTTCAGCTCCAATATGGCTGAATCAAATGGGCCTTACATGGGCTGAGACGGGCTGGTCCATGTTAGGAATGTTTGTGCTGACATGGCACGGTCCAAGTTCGGTCAGGCCTATAAATTTTCATAGGCCGTGCTGGGCTAGTCTATGGGTTGAGAAATGCTAACCCAGCCCAGCCCACCAATTTTGCTGAGTTGGGTGTCCCTTAAATAGTATCGTGCCGAGCCGGCCCAACCTAACACTGTATCAGAATAGACTTGAGTCAGCCTACAGGCCTTGACTCATTGTTGCATCTCTGTTAATTTCTAGCTAAGGGAATCCCTTTCCAATAAAAATATTCCCTATTCTCTATCCTATAACATTTCCGATATATATATATATATATATAGGAGAAAGAGAAAAATAGGCCAAGATTTGAGATGAATTAAAATTAATAGGCTAATAGTTTACATAAGTTAATAAATAAGTCAAATTAATATTTTCGTCTATAACTTGTCTGGTTATGAACCATAACTTTACAAGTTATTGTCAATAACTTGTCTGGTTATGAACCATAACTTGACAAATTTATTCATAACTTATCTGATTATAAACCATAACTTAACAAGTTATGACCTATTAATTTCTATAACTAAAAATTAATCTATATATTTTCTTAAACTTTTCATATTAGTCTATTTTCTACTATTTTCCTATATATCTATCTTTGATACCTCTAATGGGCCTTCGTTTTAGATTTAGATGTGCCAGCGTACCGGATTTTTATTAATCTTATGCGTGATGGTTAGTTGACATATTAAATCATTTTTGGTAATTCATGCATGAAATTTTTATTGTTTTCTTTGAGACAAAATATATTTGAAGAAGTTGACTTAATTTTAAAATTTTTTAGTTTCTTTTTACTTGCTAATTTTTCAAAAAGATTCCACCAGTCAAAATTCTATTGATGTATTTAGTATGAAGATTCGTATCATAATTTGAATTATGATTCATGACTCGTTATAATATTTTTTTTTATAAAAAAATACACATAAATTAAAAATAATTCTGAATCATAATTTTAAATCCGTGAATTATACGTCCAAAAATTTTCTAAAATAAAATAAAAAAAAAGTACACATCCAGTAGCAAAAAGGTGATTATAATCATCATCATAAGAAATTTTGACACAGACGTTGGACAACCTCATGAGTTTTTCTAGTAATGATGCATTAATCCAATAATTATAAATGGCTCACAAAGTCAACTAATATAATGTAATGGTGGTCAGAGCTAGCAGAACTGGCATGCATGATGGAATTCATAAGTCAACTGCGGCATAAAGTCTCGTTCTCTCTTTCTGAAGTCTCTCTCTAAACTTCCACTTTTGAGTGCTGTGTTTCGTCGGAAGCTTCGGCACCGTCTTTGGACACCGCACCGGACTTTCAACCCAAAATTTTGTCTTTAGACTCGCCTAATCGTCGTTTTTTCTATGGTGGTTACAATGTGTAGAGTGGCGCTTTTACTAGAGTAAGTTTGATACGTTTTAAAAGTGAAGTGTCGTTCATTTAGACAGTTATTTCTAATTTTCTAGCATGTTCGCTGGATGATGGTTGTGCTCATTAGCATTTTGTTTAGTACGGTGGTGGGCTTATCTTAGATGTGGTATTTTTGATTGTTTGTGGCGGCTGTGGAGGTGAGTTTCATTTACAGTTTGACGTCGTTTTCTCAATCTCGCTATATCTCTTTCAAAGTCCGTTGTCTTTCTAGGCGGTGCTTTCGTCGTTTGCCTCATCTCTAGAGTCGTTTGACGGCGGGTCTTGAGACTTTTTTGTGTTTTTGTTTGTAGCGTGTTTTCTTTACTGTAATATTCGAGGCTTTCATCCAGTTGTCTTGGTTTGTTTTTTGAGTCCATTGGACTGGTGTATTGGCGGTGTTTAGTGTAGTCTAGTGCTATGATATTTTGTTTTTCTATCGCTCAAAAGCTTATATTGTTGAGAGGGGTTTAATCAAATAAACCTAAGGTGTGTTCGATCTTAGTGTGATAAAGTATTCTCCTATTTTTGGACTTCAGGTGTACGTATGTTTCCCTGCTGGGTCATTAGTTTTAAATTGTGATGTTTGTTACTCTGTTTTTGATTACATACAAGTTATTTGAGATATGAGTTTTTATTAAATTTTGTTTTTAAAAAAGGTATAGTTCGACATTAAAAAAAGGGAGAATTTTTGGTACGCAAGACGTATTGATAGGTTAAGTTTTTTTAACTGTTAAATTTACATATTTTTTAATTTTTACGTAATTTTATATAAATTTAATGAATAAAAAATTTTATTTATCGGTATATTAACGTACCGAAAAGGTTTCTAAAAAACACTTAAAAAAAAAAGAATAAAACGGGAAATAATAGTATGGGCTTTTTGGTGTAAAATCTAGGCCAAAATCATGAGCACAAGATAGGTCCAACTTCAACAGTAGGAAGTCAACCTCTTGACCCTACAGTAGATTTGGGCTTGGGGTTGCCCATATCCCGAATCCCATTGAAGTGGGAGAAGAGCTACACAGACTTTGACACCAAACCATTCGTGCACCATACGCCCCGCTCTACCAAACTTACCGTACTCTCTCCAATCAGATCTCAGCTGGACCCACGTGTGGCCCCACGCGCGAAGCTTCACCTCTGCAGTCATTAGCTTATGCGGCAGTAAACAAGAGAGGACCGTAATTACCGTTTGAGTGCACTACACTATATTACACTTCGCACACTTCCCCATATGCAAAATTATGAGGGGACGTGGCTTGTCCCGCAAGTCCTCGGACACACTCTCTCTCACTCGGGAGCCAAAAAGAAAAACTTTCTCATTTTTCAATAAACCTTTTCTCTCTCCAAAATATCCATTTTCCTACTTACAAATTTACCATCGTTTTATTGAAATTTGTTCTTTCGAATCTTTGATAACAAATTCTGTTTGTTTCTGCTTACCCAAAAAAGAAAAAAAAAAAAAAATGACACGGACGCATTACGGGAAGAAATTATAAAAGCAATTTTTTTTTTTTTTATAATACGTTTATAAAAGTATCTTTCAATACAATCTTATAATTAATGCGTCAATTATAAATTTAATATTTAAATATAAAAAATATTTTTTAATATAATTTTATTTATTGTGTTAAATTTTATAATGTGTTATACTTTGTGATAAATTTCTCACTAAATATAAAATATAAAAAATTTAACGTTTGATTGTTATTAGTTGAAATGTTTATTTTTTTATTTATAACTTTTATATTTTTTAATTATTTTAAAATTAAAATTTTACTTTTATAACTTTCAAAACTAAATAATTATGAGAAAAAATAAATTTAGTATTTTAATAACATTATACATCGAAGTAAAAATGAAAATAATATATTATATTATATTTTTTAATACTAAATATACTATTAACATTAGTGTTTATATTAGAGATGATCTAATCGCATGGCGTGTTATTTATTTTTGCAATGTTATTTATTAAACAATTGATTTGATTCTTATTAGAGCTTTAAAAAGGAGGGAAGTAATATTATTATTTGTATTTTCTATTTTATTCACGTTTCTCTTATAAAAAACAAGGAAAAAAGAAAAAAAATACAAAAACGTATTAATTTATTATTTGTTTATTTTTCATTTTGTCCTAAAACATAAAAATAGTAACGGAAACAAACATGGCCTTAATTGATTATTATTTCGTTTTCACTTCCCTTCACCGTCTCTCTCTCTCTCTCTTGATCAGCGTCTCTTTACTAACTTCTAAAGTCGCGCTTACAGAGTTACACACGCAGTGTCAGTCTCTCTCTCTTTTTCTATAAATAAGCAATAAATCGAGAAGAATACAAAAACACCTCCCGTTTCTATCTCTCTGTTTCTCTATTCTCTCTAATCTCCATCTGACTACTCACAGCTTCATTTATATATATATATATATATATACACACATATATATATACATACACACACACACACACGTATATCTCAGAGTCACTCAACTGCGAAGTGGCTTTCTGGGAAATGTAGCATTCAGGAAATGGCCACGTGTCGCAGAAACGACGTCGGATCTCTGATTCTCGACCGCCCCACCGCCACTCCGGCGACGTCCGGCGGCCACTTTCGGAAATGGCCGGGGTTCTCCGGTGCCGCATTCAGGAGGAAAATCTTCGGCGCCGTCAGCTGCGGCGGGAGCTCTCGCTACCGCCACCACAACCGCGGCGAAGACTACGACGACGACAGAAACGCTCCGGTCGCCGCTCCGGCGGTCAAGGAGAAGGCGCCGGCGGAGAAGCCTAAAACAACGGCGGCGTCTAAGGCGAACGGGAAGTCGGAGAAGCTGATGGATCTTCTGAACCTGGCGGAGTGGTCGGAGAGCGAGGCGGAGGCGGCGGCGACGCGGAGGAAGGTGGAGGCGCTGGAGACGCTGAAGCGAGTGGTTAGGGATTTGCAGGTGGAGGAGAGGGGAAAGAGGAGAGAGGCCGCGACGGAAGCGAGGTTGCTTGCGAAGGAAGATTTGGAGGCGAGATGGACTCTGGCCATGCTCGGAGCCATTCCTCCTCTCGTCGGAATGCTCGATTTTGAAGACCATAATTCTCAGATCGCCGCCCTCTATGCTTTGCTCAATCTCGGGATCGGCAATGATATGTGAGTCTTTTTTTTTTTTTTTTTCATTTCTGTTGCATGCACATTCCCTGTTTTTGTTGTTTTCTGCTTTTTTTTTTTTTCTTATACTCGTCCTTTCAATTTCTTTCCGGAAACTTCATATTTTTCCTATCTACTGAAAACAGTACATTTTTTTACACAGTTTCCTTTCCTCATTCACTTCTCATGAAAGTTATCACAATGTTCAGATTCAGTGTATTTGCAACTTTTTTCCCAGTTCTTGTAACTTTTTCTTTTTTACTATATGTTTCAATTTTCGTCAAATATGAAGAATTCGTAATAATTTTCCGGTTTTTTTTTCCAATGATTTTCTGCAGGAACAAAGGAGCCATTGTTAAAGCAGGTGCTGTTCACAAAATGCTAATGCTCATAGGGTCTCCAAATTCTCTAAACCCAGCAGTTTCAGAAGCTATAGTGGCAAATTTTCTGGGCCTAAGCGCATTGGACTCAAACAAACCAATTATTGGATCCTCAGGTGCCATACCTTTCTTGGTCAAAATCCTCCAGAATTCGGAAAACCCCAGTAGCTCACAAGCCAAGCAAGACGCCTTGAGAGCCCTGTACAATCTCTCAATCTGCCCATCAAACATTTCCTTTATCATGGAAACTGATCTGATCCCATTTATGTTGAACGCGTTGGGAGACATGGAAGTAAGCGAGAGGATCCTCTCGATTCTGGGCAATGTGGTTTCGACACCGGAAGGTCGAAAATCGATCAGTGCTGTGGCTGATGCTTTCCCCATTTTGGTTGATGTGTTGAATTGGAATGACTCTCCTGGGTGCCAAGAGAAGGGATCCTACATTTTGATGGTGATGGCGCACAAGGCTTATGGGGATAGGCAGGCCATGATTGAAGCCGGGATCGTCTCGGCATTGCTTGAATTGACGCTTTTGGGTAGTACATTGGCGCAGAAGAGGGCTTCAAGGATTTTGGAGTGTTTGAGAGTGGATAAAGGGAAGCAGGTTTCACAGAGTTTTGGTGGGAATTTGGGGGCTACTGTTTCTGCCCCTATTTGCGGGTCTTCATCATCTTCAGTGATGAATCCAAAAATGGGCACTACAGAATGTTTGGAAGAGGACGAGGATATGATGAGTGAGGAGAAGAAAGCAGTGAAGCAGCTAGTCCAACAGAGTTTGCAGAACAACATGAGGAAGATTGTCAAGAGGGCTAATTTGCCGCAAGATCTTGTTCCTTTTCACTTCAAGTCACTCACAGCAAGCTCCACTTCAAAGAGCTTGCCTTTTTAAGGAGTTGGACCTGCTGAGGAAGGAAGGTGTGAGATTGAGGAGAGGAATTCTGAAGTTAGTTTTCTTTTCATGATCTTATTATCAAGCTTCTGGTCTTTTCTAATTTCTACCTTTTTTTGTTAGTGCATAAAATAGCTATTGCTCGTCAAAAAGTCGATATAAAACTATAGACTATAGTGTTGTATAATTATCCGAGTAGAAAATTTCTCATGTGGGCAATTCCCATTTATGTTGCTTTTGGTGTTTGAATGAGTGCATACTCTCTCTCTCTATCTTCCTTGCTTATAATGGGCGCCAGGCATACATTTTGGCTTGAATATGAATTCTATTCTCCCACAAGTAGAGCTCACCGATATTGGAAGCATTACTTTCTTAAAAGTTCCATTTGATAATTAAACCGCCATAGTGATAACTGATAACACCGGTTACAAGTTTGGTTCATGGATTAGAATCATGATATTAAAATTATTTTTGATTTACGTGTATTTTTTTTAAGAAAAAATAATGTAACGAATTATGAACTATAATTCAAATCAGAGTACGAATCTCCTTATCAAACGTCACATGGTATGACTGGATATATCTATAGACGCTTCATTGTTTGTCAGTGGTATTGGATGCAAATTTGGGAAATCCGAGGGATGCTTTGGAGTTATATTTGCAACAGAACAAGCCCAAGTCATGTTATATTTGCACTAAATCACCCCCACTACTGACTCTACTATCAAGGGGTCACTTTACACCCAATAGTACATTCTTGTCTCTTCCTTGGCCCTACCCCAAATTTAAATTAATACTGCTTAAATAATTAACAAAAACAGTTGGAAGGGGTGTCGGTCATTTTCTTATGCATTATTAGAAAATAAAGACCTTTCACTGCCTTCTTCTCCATCTGGGGGAATCTTTTGCTCTGCTGGTCCTTCAGTTTTGGGTCTGAAATTCCATATGGAATCTTTGGATTTACTCAAGTTTAATTGCATTAATTAAAAATTTGTAGTGAAAACATGGATCTCTTTTTTGTTAATCTCTATGTTATTGGAGTAGTTTAACATTGTTTGGTGCTTATCCTCTGGCATTTCTCTTGTATTAAAATGCTCTGACCTTGTTTACTGAAACATCCTCTATTAATAATTTACAGATCTCAATAGTAAGGTCCAATCTAGTTTGGAGTGCTTAGCTGTTCGTCATTGTTGGAAAATCATCGACATTGACATTTAGTCCCCACGAGGTATTTGTATATTTACATGATTTTCATTGTGGGGTATTGTCATTCGGTAGTATCCTAAACTTTAATTTCCCTCGTCTTTTACCATGCCTTTTAGATTAGTTGTAACTTGTATGTTATCTTGTGTACATTTCTGTGGTTAATATAATAATGCACTGGCGCAGTTTTTTTTGACTTGACAATGTACCATAATCTAGAGTTTTTTTAACGCTTTCACATCTACATAGGGCTCTGTTTTGACATCAAATCTATTCAATTCTATGTAATTTTGCACACTTTTTTTTTTTTTTTTCCCCTGTGGATTCAAGTTTAGAATTAAAATTTTATTACAGTAAAAATTTTTTAAAACAGTCGCATTTAATTTTTTTATCACAGTAAAAAATTTTTAAATAAAATCATATTTTAATTTAAATTAAAAATTTGAATCAACAAATTAAAAAGTACTTCATTTATTGTGATTTTTATTAGATTTATCGCTAAAAAACACGCATTTTTTTAAAACAGTCGTATTTAATTTTTTTATCACAGTTAAAAATTTTTAAATAAAATCATATTTTAATTTAAATTAAAAATTTGAATCAACAAATTAAAAGGTACTTCATTTATTGTGATTTTTATTAGATTTATCGCTAAAAAACACGCATTCCTACCACAGAAAGCTCCAATAAATCCTACGGTTGCTTGAACTTCTTGGATTTACCTTCTTTCTTTATAGTAATCTCAGCGTTTCACAGTCTCCATTTTTTCATCCTTTCGATCGTATTTTGTTGACTATTTAATTTATTCTCTGATTTTGGGTGGGTCGAACTCGAACGTTAGGTCCTGCAGCTTCGTAATTGTCGGTAGTGACGTGGGTCCATCATAAATGTTGAGGACCGACTAATCGTATTACACAAAACGCACGTTTTGGCATCTTTTGTTGAAGGAAGCTCCACACTTCAAATAATTAAATGCACCATCTTGTGGCTCGTATATGGCAGCAAAGAAAAGAGTTGAAACTACTGTTCTTTCATAATGTTTTACCCATTTCAAGTTCTATACGTTACTTGGGTTTTTTTTCCTTCAAAACCAACTTCATTTCACAACTTGACAATAACCAGTTTGGTTGTTTTCAAATGTAAAGGCAAATAGACGGTTGGTTAGAGTTATATTAGGCAGGTGGGTGTGTGAGTTATTTAACTTGCATACTCTGCGGCTCTTCAGTAATCAGTGATGATAATCCCGTCCTCAGATATATAGCAGTCAAATCACATACTGATAATGATTATGGTCAAGAAGAAATTTTGGCTGTAGACCCTAATAAAATCTTTTTATCCAACTTTTTTTGAAGACCGAAATTGTATTCCAAATCAGAAATGTACAAACACTACTACTTCAGTGGCAAAAGACCTCAATTCATTTGATGACTCAACTCCCACCATTAACGGAACCGTGGTTAAGTTGAAACACTTGAGGGGTAACAAGTGTATCAAGTTTCAACAAGAGAAAATCTATGCGACGTTTGAAAGAGGGATTCGTGTCATGATTTGAATCATGGTTCGTTGTGGTTCGTGGTTTGTTATAAAATTTTTTTTATAAAAAATACACGTAAAATGAGAATAATTCTGAATCATAATTTTAAATCCATAAACTAAACGTCTATTAAGAGTCACCCAACTATACCAGCAAATGAATGGCTTTTTAAAATACATCACTATAATTAGTGGATAACTCAATCGAGATTAAAAGACCAAAAACATCAAGGGCTATCACCAGACCGTATAGAAAAGTAACTTGCGGACTAGATATAAAAGCCACCAGAAATTAGGGAGGCCACAAAAAATTGTGTACTTAATTAGTTAGTTTGTATTAAATAATAGAAGGTATACAACCACACAAAGTAAATGCAGCACTCATTTCTATGGACAACTACGATGTTCAAGAGCTCCAATGATATGGGTCAATTTTGTTCATTCTTTTCGGCTAGATTTTGATGAAGTATGATGTGGATTAGAATTTAGATGTGTGGGCAGTGTACATTTGGCCAATTCCTGGCTCTTTGACGTTTAAGGACTAAACGACATGTGCATTGGGGGGTTGTTCCGGACATTGCTACATGTGTTAGAACTGACATGGAATAATTGATGGTTCTTCAAGCACCAAAAAATGGACAAAAGAACTTGCCTCAAGTTTGTTTAGATGCATACGCCCAAAGGAAGGGGGGCCAACAAACTGCTTTAAGAGCCATTATGCTACATTTTTATCATGAATTATATGGCTCTCACTATTGCTGATTGATTCTAGTTTTTAGAAAAGTAAATGAACAATATAGTAAAAAGGTTGATATTCCTTTAATCTTATGTGGGTGACTCAGGAGAGTGGGCAAAGATGATTGGGTTTTTTTTTTTTTTTTTTTTTTTTTTTTTTTTTTTTTTCCCCTTGCTAAAACACTAAAAAAGGATGCTTGTAGGGTGGGGACTAGAATAAGACTTTTGGGGACAACTTTTGAGTGTTTTTCTTCATGGGATTACTATTTTACAGCTAGTTCTTGCACTACAAGTATGGGAATTTCAACTTTCCAACCAAAGTATGCTAAACCTTAAATAACAAACAAGCTACCCGTATAATTTGTTGTCTCCAAGTATGTCCAATTTTTCTTACCTCAAGAAATACACAATCATGCATGTGAGAAGAGCGTTCAATTTAATCATGCATGTGGAGACCTTCACAATGCTATCGATCCTAAGGGAAATGGGGTGTCCTACTACTAAAGTATTGGCATGATCTATCCATTGTTCTTCTCGTCAAAAGTAATGTGATCTAGATTCTAAGGTTGTAAAATTAGCTAAGAAGATGACAAGACTAAGTCAACTAATTAATTGATTAATTAATTAATTAATAATTAACTTTTGTCTCCCTTCAGGAAAAAAAAAAAAATCACGCGGTAAGATATCCAACTTTATATCCAAATATTAAAGGACAGAGAAAATGGAACTGGCCATGTTTAAGTTCAAAATACGTTATTAAATATATTTCTCAAAGGTACATTTATCTGTGATTCTCTTCAAAGATTATAGGGCTTTCAGTTTCCATGAAGATGCAAATGAGAAACCTTTTTTATTTTTTATTTAGAAAGAAAGAAAGAGAGAAAGACCTTTCTAAGTTGAACATTGGCGAAAGAAACGCAATTGAAAAGAGGAAAAATAGGACACAGGTTGATTGTCCTTACAGCCCAGACATACCGTACAGATCCAACTCCTCTCATGTAAGGAACACATGAAATGTCAACATAATGATCTGCACCGTCAATTTCATGTGGGACCCATCTTCCTTAATTGATCAGATAATCTGAACGAGCTATGATGTTCACCACTATATGCTAGTTTCATCTTTTGTGGTGCGGCCTCTTTAATGATCCACAACTACAAACTGTTTCCATTAAGACAGAAAATTCATCGTTTTAGCAAAAAAGTGTACATAATGACAACAATAGCGATAATCAGTGTCATTAACAACATTCCAGCCGGCAATGAGCGAATTCATTATTGCTTGGCAATTTAGATGAACTTCGTTGGCCCCATCCTGGACATGAGAATCTATCTCAACGTGTACGCTTTTTATGAATTTGGAAGTTGGAATTTGTCGCTAAATATTTTCTTCTACTCTATTAATTTAATTTATTTTATTATTATTATTATTTTTTTTGCCCTTTTGGTATTAGAGAAGGGAATTGTTGTTTGGGACCATGAAAATGGTTGAGTATAGAATATATCTGAAAAAGAGTAGGTGAAGAGTATTGATGATACAAAGTTATAAATCCACTCTGAGTAAATGGCCCCAAAACAAGAAATTGCAAATATGCAGGAGTGTGTGTATATATATATATATAATATAAGGTCTGTTTTTTGTTTTTCACTGAACCATGCAGTCTCCAGTGTCTACGGCAATTAATGCGTAGAAAATGGGACATTTCTTTGTTGCATCATAGCATATCAAGTTAAGCATCTTTTTCATGGCAGGACTTAAAATTATTGGAGCTCTGGACCACTCGACTTACCATGATTTTTCATCCTCATCTCTCACATTCGTCACTTGGCTTACGGGGTCTTTGTTTGGAATAGTAGTACTACTAGTACCTAGTAGTTGCATATGATAAAAACGACAAGAAAAATGCATAGTTTCATACGTTATTCGGTTATTGAGGAGGCGGTAAGATGCAGCTATTTTATTATTTTAAAAGGGAAAAAACGACAGTGAAATGAGCGGTGGCTCACCCCAAGAACAGGACAACATCGGAATCCACCCCATCATTCATGTCGTTTTATGAGTCCAGCACCAAACGTTGCATGGCAATGGCATCCATAAAAAGTAAGAGAATTGGGAGGGCGATACACTCAACCATCTTATATTAATATAGAAATGCAATAAACTGACATGACGGTTAAGTTTATACCAATTTCGACAAGAAATTGCACCAACTTTGACGTCTCATCTCATCGAAGATCTTCAACAGTCTCCACTAATCGCTTTTTGTTATATGGGCCCACCTTGATTGATTTAATACACTTGATTAAACCAGTCAAAACGTCCTAAATCCAACCCAACAAAATATTCCGGCCAACGGTGATTAGGGACACCAAAAAGTGCAAAATGATTCCACGATCGGTTCTGGGGCCCACTCCTGTTTCTTCTCCTTCTCCTTCTCCTCCTCCATCTCTCTTTTCTTTATTTATTTATTTATTTTTAAGGGATAATGCCAAAACCTGCATTAAAGGAATAATGCCAAAACCTGCATACCCATCCATTCCAAATTTAAGACACGATTATATCTGAACAAATAAGAATTAAATAAAAAAAAAGAAAAATTATGAGACGAAAACATAAATGGGGCTGGGCTTGGTTAGTGCGTTACTTTTTTAAATCTCAGAAAAAATGGAAAATTTACTTCCACGAGTATAAATTTTTATCCCACATTATTGATAAATATTTTTTTATTAGGATAATTATTTAATTAAAAAAATTATAAATTTTTATCCCGTATTTTTGATAAATATTTTTTTATTAAGATAATTATTTAATTAAAAAAATTATAAATTAAGAAAAAAATAAAAATTTTGACTCATGTACTTTTAAAGAATATTTATTAAAATTACTCTTTTATCTTTTCTTCTCTTTTGTCTTTGTTTCGGCAATGTGTGTGGTATGATTATTGAGTGCTTCTCAAATTCATTTTTCGTATCTTTATAATTGTACATCTAATGTCATAAATCTCAGTCTAAAAAAGTGCCAAGTGTCTTTTTTTTTGTTAAAAAAATAACAAAAAGAAAAATTTTGTAAGTCATGAAGTTTAAAAGGAACGGATACGGATATGTTACAAATTAAAATTAAAATTCAAGAGACATGAGCAGAACGGTGTAACTTGTCCTTTTTTAAATGGTTCTATTATGTTACATGTGGGCTTCAAACTTCAAGAAAAGAGGGGCTCGGCAAGTAGATAGTCCGGGGTGAGTTAAGAGGAAGGAAACTCAGAAATGGCCGTCTAACAGCATAGAATTCATTTGGTATGAAGATTTAAATTAGAGTGATTTTAATTTTAATTTTAAAATTAGAATAATAATTTATGATTCTGAATCCAAATCATATTTTTAAAATCAGAACCAGAATTATGAGTTTAAACCACCTAAAATCAAGAGGATGGATAATTTTATAATTAAAAGTGATTCATGGTTTAAATATGGTTTAAAACATCATATAGTTCAAACATTGAATCAGAACTATTTAAATCAAACACTGATTTTTAATAAGTCAAATTAGAATCACTTTTTACTTTTTATAAATAAACACTAATTTAAACTCAAAATTATAATTCTCTGGGTTCAGAATCCTTATACCAAACTGCCCCTAAATATTTCTACCATTGACTCTATATATTAAATTGAGTCAAGATTCTAATATAAAGGCGTTTATCCCAAAATAATAATAATAATAATAATGTAAAGGCACAAGGGTAGAATTAGAATACCACTTATAAGTGACTGGACTTTATATACAGGGACTAATTCACACCATAGTCCAGAACAGAGAACCAGAACAGACTTCAAAACCCCGCCTAAAAGCCCACTTAATTAAACAAGTACCAGGTAGACGTGGGGGGAAAAAATGGCCCTTATATGGTAGAGTGGATCTGAGCTAGAATTGTAATGACGATGTGATTAGAGTAGTGACAAATTCGTACTCTCCAAGCTCTCAAATTAGTTTATCACGCTCTAAGAATAACGATGTAAAAGATAATACAAGTATTTAAAAAGGTCATTTAGGATTATGAAGAACTATGGATTTGGTATTACCATTAGATTCATTTAATATATCCGAACACAGGGGTTCCATACCTCCCTCGTCGTGAGGAAAAAGACAAATTCACATATTTTTCTCTCTTAAAACAGAACGGGGAAGGAACAAGAACGACATAACATTATCGTTTCTTAGATAGGTCTTCTTTCATTTAGTAGGACGTCTACAACTGTTACCTGACCAGGTACCATCCACCAAAACAATCCAAAACCCATGTACCTGTTTTATACAGAGTAGTATTAGTAAATTCGAGGTCCCATGACTAAATTCTACTTGGTTTCGTTGACAGGGAGGTATACGCCTTCTGCTGCCAACCAAACATTGTCGGCGCGCTTTTCTGTGACACCACAAACCTGTGCAGGAAGGCACACAAGTTGTTAGTGAACGACTCGGTACACACACTACTTAAGTAGAGCGAGAACATGTCCTTCAAGTTTAATCCTAATGAAAACAAGTCATCAGTGGCTCAAAACAATAGCAGCCTAAGTTGTGCCTCCTAGTAACTGATTTTCAATCTGCATTTGTTTTCATTAATTGCAAAAAGCAGATGGTATTTATTTCCTTACCTCCTGCTGTCCTCCAGCAATTCGGGTGTATTTTTTGTCATGACTATGCAGGTAGACACCCGTGTCAACATGCTGAAGGCGAACTCTTTGATCTTGCTTCCAGGTCTTCCCACTCCCTTCAATCAGAAGCCTACAAAATAAACCGCCAACATGCGCCATCAGCAATACAGATTAGTAAGGACAGTCAAAGTAAACCTTTTATAAATGATTAGGTGAGTTTCACCTCCAATAATCGCCAGTGTCAGATTCATTGTCCCCGCCGAAGCAGCTTACCTGTACCAAGCATGACGTGACTTCAATTAGCATGAATGTAAATGAAGCACTAAGGTGAAACGGTATAGAAGCTAAAAACTATATGCAGCATACATTGGTGTAAAGACACTATAATAATCTAACGGTATGAACCATGCATTTGCCGTACTCATGCCAAGGATTTAGTGGAATTCCCTTAAGTGCACAATACACTCCCATCTTTGACATAAGGATATAGCTCAAACTCCATAGGATTATTATATATATATATATATATATATATATATATATATATACACACACAACAACAACAACAACAAGTCTTAATCTCAACTTAAATAGGGTCGGTTATATGAATTTTACTTTTCCACACAGCTCTGTTCGAAATTAAACTTTCCTGAAGTCTAGATTTAGAATGTCTTTCATAACTACTTCGGTCCACGTAATTCTTGGTCCACCCCTCCCTTTCGTAGTATTAAGTATAAGAATGTCCTCTCAAGCACGAACTAGTGCTTCTAACGGTCTACGTTGGACATGTCCGTACCACCTCAAGCGGCCTTCGCGTACCTTATCTTCTATTGGTGCTACACCTCACTTTTCCACGCAGCTCCGTTCGAAATTAAACTTTCCGGAAGGCCTAGATCTAGAATGTCTTTTCTAACTACTTCGGTCCACGTAATTCTTGGTCTACCCCTCCTTCTCCTAGTATTAGGTATAAGAATGTCCTCCTAAGCACGAACTGGTGCTTCTAGCGGTTTACGTTAGACATGCATGTACCACCTCAAGCGGCCTTCGCGCACCTTATTTTATATTGGTGCTACACCTACTTTACTACAAATAACTTCATTCCTTATGCGATCCATTCTCGTATGACCACTCATCCATCTTAACATATGCATTTCTGCCACACTCATCTTAGATATATATTGTCTCTTAATGGCCTAACATTTACTACCATATAACATAGCTGGGCGGATTACAGTCCTATAGAACTTTCCTTTCAGCTTTAATAGGCATCTTGCTATCACATAAAACTCCCGTTGCATTCTTCCACTTAACCCACCATGCCTTAATCTTAGATTGAATATCCTCTTCTATATGTCATTCGTACTGCACTATAGACCCAAAGTACCTAAATTTCCTAAAAGCCTCAATCTCCACACCATCTAAAAAAATTCCATCACTCTGATGACTTGAGTTACTAAACCTACAATGCATGTATTCAGTTTTCGTCCTACTTAACTTAAATCCCCTCGTCTCGAGAGTCTATCTTCACAGTTCTAACTTACGGTTAAGTGTTAACTCATTCCCTATGTTCATCAACTAAAACTATATCGTCCGCAAAAAGCATACACCAAGGAACTCTATCTTGGATTTCTCTTGTCAGCTCATCCACCACGATGGTGAAAAGATAAGGACTAAGAGCATTATTATTATTATTATTATATATAAAAGAAAAATTATAAACAATCTTTTTTTTGTTTTTTTTGTTTTTAAATAGCATTGTTATACTGTACAGGAAACTTGGGTAAACAATACAAGAACTGAACATACCTCTTGGTTGCCTGATATTGGGGAGGCATGCAAATGGCTATGTAGCCATTTCCTAGTTCTCATGTGGTGCAACCTAATGATTGTCCCACTTTTAATGGCATCGCCTTGTTTAGCAGATGATCCAAGCTGTGGGTTAACAATCTGTAAAAGAAAAAATTAATTTAACTCCGTATTAAAAAATTACCACAGTAACATGTTTAGTGCGCTTTTTATTTTTTTGGAAGATGATGTTTTAAGTGCTTTGACATGTAAATAAGAGAATAATACACATTTTGCCGACATGCTTCACCTCTTATCTTTATATCAGGGTAGATTTACCACAAACTGTCATTGCTTCAAAATATAAAAATTAGTTCCGACAACAAAGATGGACATAAGCAGCTAGCTCAGTGAGGGAAAAAAAATATTTCTCGCCAAACCAAATCAAATAAAAGGTAGAGAGCCTAACATTTGTTGATTAACATAATTAGTAATTAGATTATTTCCAACATCAAATATCTAGAGAATTGAAATTCCTTCGTCGTTCTAAATCCAAAACTACCACATTAATCCAATTGAGAAAATGTTTCCTGATTCTCGAGTTCAACACAAAAGGAACATGATCAAATCAAAGAACCTGAACCTTCACGTTTTCCTTTTCAATCTAATCAAACAAATATTTTCTACACCGAAACTGAACAAAATGTGGGTATATTAAGGTGAAAACTATAATTTTGATATCCTTAACAAAGAGAGATTGAAATACAAGAGAGAACGGAGAAAAGTTACCCAGTAGCTATTGGAATCGTCAACATTGGGAAAACCAGTAACTGATTGCTGTCCACTGCCAGAACCATACGGCACGTCGTGGGAATGAAGTCGAAATTTGGTCCTTTCATGCATCAGCTTTAGAACTGTCCCATAAGTAATCTGCCAGACAAATAAAAAATAAATAAAAAAAATAAAATACCAAACGTGAAATTCGATATCCCAATTCTTAAAACAACACAATTTCATCCCCAAAATCATTCTTCCTCACTCACAAAACCCTATTTTTCGCATAAACAAAGAATGCACTCATTTCCACAAGCTAATAGCAGCTTCAAATGAAATGGACAACTAAACTAAACAAATCTAGAAAAAGAAAAAATTGATAAAAAAACCTCCACGCCTTCGGAGGAGGCAGCAGAAGCCGAGGAAGCGTAGCCATTATCGGGATCAAGGCCGAGGAAGAGGAAGACAGCCAAAGCAAAGAAACCAATGGCCATGGCGAAGAGCAATCCGATGAACCAGTTACGTTGCCAAAAAGGGAGATCAGATTGGGAATTCTTCAACGATTCTCTGACCACGACCCGACTAGGCCCGACGGTAGACGGAGCTGAAGAAGAGGGCTTTCTTCGAGTCAGGCCCGGCGAACCTGAGGAAGCCACGGTGAGCGAACCAGGAGATGTGAGAATTTCTGCGATCTGGTTAGATTAGGGTTCGTGTTTGAATTGCGAATGCGAATTCGGAAATTAGGGATTTGGTAAGGTTTTGATCTATCATAAGCATTTGATATCTGGGAAATTTCTTTGTTCAACAAGAGAAGGGAGGAACGGCTTTTTGTGCCGTGTTTCGGGTGACACGTAGATGACGAGACTCTAGCCAATGGGTTTTATCCACGTGGATACGTATATGACGTGGAGGGTTCTTAGTGGACCAAGTCAAGATCATTGGGAAATTATTAAACCGAGTATTCGTCAAGGTTTTTATAATTTTAGTCCACTTCCATTTATCAAAAATACATTTGGCTATATCAAAAATACATTTGGCTATCTGTGTTATTTATAATCCAACTAAATGACGTAAGTTCAGAAAAAATACAGTAATTTAAATAAGGTCAAAAAGATATAATTATAATTATAATATAAATATGGGATGATAAGAGAGAATTAAGCTCCATGGAAGAAAAGGTGTTTATTAATCTTTCTGAAAATTAGGAATTGTTTGGTTGGGAGATTCGTACTCCGATTCGAATCATGCTTCATAGTTCGTTATAGTATTTTCTCTCATAAAAAATACACGTAAATTAAAAATGATTCTAATCTTATGATTCTAATCCATGAACCAAACGTTTTCTTACAAAGAGAATTAAATTCTTAACTTAACATTTATCATGCTTAGAATTATAATTATTTAAAATAAAATAGTGTATGATATATGGAAGTAAAAATAAAATTATGGGAAGTATATAGTTAGTTCTTTTTTAAGGACATGATTTAATTTTGTCAGTAAAAAGTTTTTAATTATTAAAAAAAACTTAATTTCTTATTAGTTGGTGGGGTTCACCTCGTTTAATTTTCAAATATAACAGTTAAAGCCGAAATTTGAAATCATGAATTTAGTTCTCTTTTATCAAATTGAATTTCAAGGTCTTTAATGTTTCTAGAGGCCTCTCACCACTCCTATTAAAGGGTCTTCAGTCTTGTCTTGTGCTCGCGACCTACCTTGGGATGTCTAACTATTCATGATATATTTCCTTAATTTATCCTATAGTCCCATTCTAAATTTATATTTTATATTTTGTAAAAATAATAATAAAACAAGGGATATAGTTTTTTTAAGAATTATTCAGTGGACCGAATATATCACGTCATCTTATTTATGTAGTACACCAGTCTAATAAAACTACATTATTTAACCACTTTGTTTATGTCAGTTTTTTGTATTTATATTTCTTTTTTCTAATGTGTATAGCATTAATTGTTGAGTTAAAATCACCGTAATAATTCTACCCAATTTTTTTATTTTAATCAACTAACTTTAAATGATTTTTTTATTTATAAAATGCTATTATTCAATAAAAAAAAATCTTTTTGGTGTGTCCGTTGTTATTCCATCGAACAAAACCACAAGAGAAACACATTAATATGTCTTCCATCATGTATCTGCACTTCTAGGCTGATTCTTTTGATTTTACCATTGAAAATTTACTTTTTAGTGTGTCCGTTGCTATTTTTTTAATATGATATTGAGGATATTAAGATTCAAAGTATATTGATATACTTTTAAGATTATATTGCTAATTTTTATTTTTTGTTAAACTTAATTTGAGTTAAGTATAGTTTCATGTTCCTTTCCCATTTGGATTACACTTTTTTTTTGCTTTATGTGCTGAATGATATATGGAATAACAAAATCGACCACAAGAATTGTTCAAGAGATGTGACATAACTTGTGAAATAAACGAACCAATTTTTAGGGTTTTCAACTTTCTCTCTTCCCCACACAAATCATAGAAAAAAGAGTGAACGACGGCAGGAGTTCCGGAACTGCCTTTGGGTGCGTTGCCGGAATCTCAGCCATAAAACTTGGTCATCCGGCTCGCCTCGTTGTTACATATTTTCGCAAACGCAAGTGCACGTTATCGTATCAAGTAGTAAAGTTCGTAGAAACGAGTATCGTCCTACGAGGACTGAATAATATTAATTACCGAAATTGTATCAATAATAACTTTATTTGAACGAAACAAGCAAGTGAGAATTTTTATATAAATAAAACTAAACAATCTAATTAACAATTTAAGTAATTATCAAAATTCAATATTAAGAAGCTCTAGGGTTTCCGATTTCACCAAACTATTCCGCCTTGAATTATCTATCTAATCAATCTTAAATTATTCCCCTTAATTGACAGTCGAAAATCCCTAAATTAATCGATGCTCCCTTCCGAGTTACATAAAAAATCTCCTTGATTGCTAACCCACTATATTCCTATGTGAATTTCAAACAATTAAAGAGTCACTAAGTTTTATGGATTTCCATGTAGCAACCACACCAACCATGCAAGTATATCCCTATCTTACATGCAATCAATGGAATTCAACACAATGATCGAAAAACATAAATCTCCTTCCGGTTTCATTATGAATTAACTAATCATCCAATTAGTGGCCAATTAATTAGAAACATTAAGAACAGTGATGAAAACTCAACTAGGACGAATAATTCTTCGATTGATATGATAACATAATTCAAAACATCATGATCCGGCTACATCGTAGCCCTAGAATAGGAAACTTAGAACATAATGAAAAGATAAAACATCTTAACAATATTCTTAAACATGAGAAGAGAAGAAGAAACTATTTTGACGAATTGAAGCAGAATTCTGTTCCCGGTTGATTCGTCTTCTTCTCTGCAGTAGAAAAGTTCTCCTTTCTCTTTTCTAAGTCCCAGCCTGACCTAATTGAGTCTAAGGATTCCTATTTATAGGTTCGGGGTCGTAATGGCACTTTTGGTAATTATTTAGAGATTAAAACATAAAAATCCCGAACTGGCACCGTGGCTGTGCTTCAATGGCGCTGCGGCGTCACAACACATGCCTTTAGAAATTCAAAGTGGCGCCATGGCTCTGTCCCTGGGCGCCATGGCGCTGCTCGGCAAATTTACGATTTACGATTTTCTTTTCTGTAGCGCCATGGCTCGACTTTATGGCTCCTAGCGCTTTGCTCTCGGGTTTGTAGTACTGGAGAACTTATTTTTGGCGCCATGGCTCCACTTTATGGCGCCTAGGCGCTTTGCTCTCGGGTTTGTTGTACTGGAAAACTTGTTTTTCCTCTATCTTCGAAGCCTAGATGCCCCTTTACAAAGCCTTAGCGCCCATTCTTCAATTTTGCTCCAAAAATTCCCAAAAATCACTAATGGACTCCAACTGAAACAATCATACAAAATAAATTGAAAACACATAAATAACTCCTAAAAACACCTAAAAACTCACAAAATAATGAGTTGGGAAAACACAAATGTAAACACATATTCAACTCATCACTCGTCGTGAGCTTCTCGTTGGTGGTAGCGGTGTACGGTGTAGTGGTTCCGTTTGGGTGGATCTAAACCGGTTTGGAGCTTGGAAGCCGAATGGATGAGTTTCGTTTCTAGGCGAGTTTGTAGTTTAGTGGCTGAGATCTCTTGGCCGGCTATCTCCCTAGACGGCCTGTTGGCCGGTTGTGCTTCACCGGAGGATTCTAATGGCAGTGGTCGGAGGTTTTTATTTTTATTTTTTGATGTAATTTTTGTGTTTGTAATAAGGGCGGTGGTCTCTCACCCGATTCTCGTTTGTTTTGTTATTTGTTGTTAGTTTTTGGTGATCGGCTTAAGGCCTTTTGCATGTCTCATGATAGGGTTGTCTTGGTCCATCTAGAATTTTTTTATGCAGTGTAGATGTCCCCTTTTTGCGGCGTTTGGTGATCTATCCCTCCAGCACTCGAAAGCCTATCTCGATGGGAGGAGTTTCTTCAATTCAAGCTTTATGTATGCTCGTTGTTAGTGTGCTGAGGTGTTCTATCCTTTTTGGGCCTTAGGGGTGCATCCGTCCTTCTAATGGATCGTTAATATTGTACCGAGATAACTGTTTATTAGTTTTTAACTTAATACAATTTTCCTTTAAAAAAAATTGTTCAAGAGATTGTTCATGAAAGATCGACAAGCAAGTAGTATTACTAAAAAAGTTAGCAACTTTAGTTAAAAAATAAAAAAAATCTCAGCATTTGTTCTTTCGTTCAGCATTTTAAGTTAAGGAAAAAAAAGAACAAACAATAACTTAGCAAGGCACATGTTACAAAGAAGAAAAAATTGAAAAATGGTATTTTAGAAATAAAAGTAATTAATTTAAAGCTAATTGATTAAAATAAGAAAATTAGGTGGAATAATAATGGTGTTTTTAACTCAAAAATCAATACTATATAAACTAGGAAATAGAAATGTGTTAGGGCACGGTAGATTTGGTAGGTACGACATGTATGAGGTATACACGTGCAAGTACTAAATTTGGTGGTATCAATGCTGATGTGGACGAAAGACGCAGCGACGTTCACAATGGTAGGACCTCCAACGAAGAAAAGGAGATCGGTTAGGCCCAAAGTAAGCCAAAGAAATCAGACATTAGGACCCACTTTGCTGCCAAGTTGCTGAGGTACTCTGGGAAGATATTGAACTCAGTCATGGAGATTGCATGGACGGAGTATGGTGGGAGGAGTAACCGAACGATTGATGAAGATTTGACTCGCAGAGTGTGGATAAGGCTGTTTTAGGGGAGGAATGCTCTGAGGACAAGCATGGGTTACCTCTGGAGCGGCTATTTGACTCGCAAAAATGCAGATAAGGCTATTTCAGAAGAGAATTCAGAGATCAGACATAGGTTGCCTCCGAGAATGTGTATTAACAGGTGAAGTTTATGCTTTTCCAGAAGTGTGCGCCGGGATGACGAAGTCTTGCCACAGAGGCGGATTTTTGGACCTCCGAATAAACCTCAGAAACTTCAAACATAGCTTGTAGACAAGTTTGGATGGGCCAAACAAAGTGTTTTGAAAGTTTTTGAGTGAAATTTCTATGACGAACTTCAAATCCGAAGATCACAAGTTTGAAGAACAATTCTCAAAGGGTTGAACTCAAGTGTTAGAAAAACTGTCTAAAAGTTCCAAAAGAGGCCTCCCTAGTCCCCTATTGAAATGAAAAAGCTAAGAGGTATTTATAGAAGAAGTTTGAAAGATTTTGGTGGTTGCTCCGAAGCCGTACGATCACGCCTTGCTAGAGGCTTGTACGAACCATTTCCCTCCGAAGCACTTACATTAGGTGACTTTACTCTTTGAGAAACAAATTGGCCAGAAAAGGTGTATTTGGAGACTAAATTCGGAATTCTTGCTGACATTAGACCTTCCTCAGCTATGGAGATCATAGCGTGTTTGATTGATTTGGTGCTCCGGAGGTGTTTCTATTTCCGGAGGTATGAACACACACTAGACTAGCTCCAGAACGATGCCTTTCGATTTTGTCTAAACAGCCGTCGCTGAAGCACCTGACACATTTACTCTCCATGGAGCACATGAAAAACCTTCGGACACATGGGAGTCTCTCGGAGCATAGGAGGTATCTTTGGTCACGAAGAAGTTTCTTAGAGCATGAAAAGTATCTCCATGGTGACATCTATGGTGATGCCTCCGTGGGGGCATCACAGTGATGCCTTCGGAGCAACAACTGTTAGGGAGAGGAATCCTCGCCAGCTTCGGAGGAAGTTGCTCCAGAGCAGAAAAACATCTCATCTGGCGTCAGAGAGGAAGGTTCCACAACTTAAATTTTGGACTTTCGAGTCTCCAAAGGTTGAGAAAAGGGTTTCTAAGACTCCTAATTGGCAAACAAAGAATTTTTGGATTGGATTCTCCATCACCCATTCATTCTTTAGCCCAATTATTTTAAAAACCTAAAGCGGGACTTAAAATCAGACTAGACTAAAAAACAAATGGGCCCGTTCGATTGCCCATGGCCCACCAAACCACGGCCCACGTGAGTTCTTTGAGTGTGGCTTGGGTCCACGAATCGAGCCCAATCTCGTCATAGTGCGGAATCATTGGGGTCGTTTGGAACTCATTCTAAAATGATTTTGTTTTTTGTATGAAAATAAAAATGAAAACGTTTTTAGTCTTAGATAGCAATCATTTTTGAAAATGTGTTTGGTAGTTTTATCAAGAGATTGTTTTCAGTGTAAAAATACCCATTAATGTCTCTTTTTCTCTTTCTCTGCTTGAGAGAAGAGAAAATGAAAATAAAAAATGAAAAACAACTAAAAGTCATTTTTTATTTCTCTCTCATTTTATACTAAACTAAAAAATCGTTTTTATTTCCGTTTTTTTGTTTGTATTGCTCCAAACGCCAATTTGGAAATGTTTTCATTTTTTATTTCTCAAAAAATGTAAAAAATAAAAATGAGATCAATTCCAAACACGGCCATTGGGTCTAGACCCTTGTATGGGCCTGATACAAAAACGGCCATCAATAAAATGTAAAATACAAAGGGCGCGTTTGGAACTTGTTCCAAAATAATTTTATTTTTTGTATGAAAATCAAAATGAAAATGTTTTCAGACAGAAATCATTTTTGAAAATGCGTTTGATAGTTTTATCAAGAGATTGTTTTTAGTATAAAAAAATCCATTAATGTCTCTCTCTCTCTCTGCTCGAGAGAGGAGAAAACGAAAATAAAAAATGAAAAACGACTAAATGTCGTTTTTCATTTCTCTCTCATTTTACACTAAACTAAAAAATTATTTTCATTTATGTTTTTTGCTTTTATTGCGCCAAACGCCGTTTTGAAAACGTTTTTATTTTTTTTATCAAAAAATATGAAAAACAAAAACGAGATCAATTTCAATCACGGCTAAAAAACTGACATAGACAAAGTAACTAATGGTGTAGTTTCATTGGATATGTATATCACATAAATAAAATAACGTGATACACTCAATCCACTAAATAATTCTTTTTTTTTTCCTCAAGAAACAAGGGATATGTTTAGTTATGATGATTTTGTTTGTTCGGGGTTTTACGGAACAATACTAGAATTTTTTTTTTTTGAAGGGACCAATAGTGGAATTTTGATCGGTACACAATAAAGTGAGCTTTTTAATAGGATTTCAAAGGCCTCGTTCGCTTTGCGGATTCGAGTTTTTAATTCAAGCTGAGATGTGATATTTTCTGAGAGCTTTTCACTGTAGTAAAAAAAGTTAGATGTGACATTTTCTGAGAGTTTTTTACTGTAGAAACCTAAAACTGAAAACTCGAATCGATGAAATGAACGATGCTAAAATCATGTAGACAACTGCAGTATTTTTATATAATAATGAATGCGCCATTCTGAAAATATGAAGTGGGCCAAAATATTTTGATAAAAACAAGTTTTGTTATTATCTCATCCTCAAAAGCTAATAAACTAAAAAACATTTGTTGCAATTTCACCATTTCTTTTACAGTGCGTAGTTGCATTTTTTAAAACGAAAACAAAGTTTTTTTTTTCCTTCTTAATTTAGTACAATTAGACACACATTAAAATATATTTTGTCTATAAAATAAAAACAATTTCTCAAAAACCACACGATGCAAGAGTTAAACTTATTATTTTTAAAAATCATAAAAAATATATTTTTTTCATTTCAAAGTTTGTCATTTTCCTAATCCAAAATTATAATATACGATGATGATGATGCATGCTGCATGCTTGCATACACCCAAGGATGATTTTGTGATGTTAACTACATTTTCACGACATTATTCATATTTTTTGAAATCTATAAAGAAGAAATATATTCTTTTTGGCCTGTCCGTTAAATGTGTGTAATGTCTACAAATATCCACAATATATGTTAATATTTATAAATATCTAGGATATTTTTAAAAATGTCTACGAATGTCCAAAATCACGAGAAAAAAATATTTTTAGTTCAAAAGTTAAATTTGTAGCACATATTCTCTCTTTTTTTTTTTTTTTTTTATAAATAAAATGAGACAACATGATTCAAATCAAAAGCAATAAAAATTTACTAAGGGTTCGTTTAGAAGGTATAGTTAAATTATGATTATTGATTCTGACGTTTGAAATTTAAATTTTTTATGAGAGGAAAATAGTATAGCAAAATCAATGATTTGAGTTTGAGTTTATGAAACAAACGGGCCCCTAAGGGTCCATTTGGAAGGTATACTCAAAACATGATTCTTAATTCTGACGTTTAAAATTCAAATTGGTTGTGAGAGAAAAACACTGTAGTAGAATCAATGATTTGAGTATATGAAACAAACCGGTCATAAGACTTAATTAGTTTTTAAATAATTTTTACCTTTTAAATGAACAATTCATATTCAAAGACTGATATTTGAAATGCCATTATACATCCATGACTACTCATCATGTTAGATATACAATTAATATCTGATTTATGGGTTAACAGTGAAAAAAGATCAATAAAGATATATGTGGCACATTAATAACTACCTTCAAAATTATTTAAGGGTAATATCTTGACAAATGTATTGTTTAAATCAAGATCGGAACTTAATAGATGCTTTTCAACTTATTAGAAACTCGTTTTGATATTAAAAGTACTTAAAGTCTTTGTGTCCTCTATGTTTGGTAATTAATTTGTTTGATAGTTAATTTTCATGTGATATATTTAAACTATTGTACCTTGTTTGTAATAACTATTTAAAATCGTATTGGACTCACAATTTATGTACAATTATGATAATTTTTTATTGTACTGTTAAAGGCTTTGTGTGAATAATGGAATGGTAAGCATTACTCATTTAAAAGTTTCATGTGATTCCACGTGACTCTCGTATTTCGATAAAAAAATATTATTTTTATTATTAAATTAGTTTAAATTAAATAATATTGATTATTTTAATATTTTGTATAATTTTAATAAAAAATGTAAAGTTTTTATGAGAGATTCACTTATTTTATATTTCTACTAATATTATCTATAAATCAAAAGCTCGACAACCCGTTGATATTGATATTTTCGTCCTTGCATAAGATACTATTGAACATTAAGTCTTGTTTATTTTACTAGTTCGAGTTTAAAATTTGAATTTTATTATTATAAATTTTTTTTAGAAATAATGATATATAATTTTTTTTATTATAATATAAAACTCTCATATACAATTATATCTCTAAAAAACACAAGAAATAAAATAAAAGTAAATACCTCACATTACTTCTCGGCTATAGAAAAAGAATAAATAAAGCAAAAAGAAAAAAGAATAGAATGTTTATTTTAAAAATTTATTTCTAATTTTAAATCATATTTTTTAATTTTATATAATATTTTTTTTTATAAAAAATTTAAAATTTAAATTTTAAAAATTAAAATTATATCATATTTCACTAATTTAAATTTTAAATTTTAAATTTTTAAAGTAAAAATCTTAAAAAAAATGTCACATAGTGTTGCTCTGGTACTCCAAGCCCAGCAGCCCCCTCCGGCCTCCACCTGTCAACTAACATCCCTGTGCTCGCTGACTTTCCAACACTAAACAAACAATTTAGAGTTGCTCAAACCGAGAAAGAGTAAAGATCAATTCATAGGCAAAATATGTCCGGAAGTGAAGCTTTTGCAGAGATCATAGATGGCGATGTGTACAAGTACTATGCAGATGGTGAGTGGAAGAAATCCGCTTCTGGAAAATTCGTGCCTATTATCAACCCCACCACCAGAAACACCCAATTCAAAGTGCAAGGTACTATTATGTGATCAATTTGTTTTTTTTTTTAATTAATTTGATTCATTTCTACTGGAATTGATGATCATCTTTCTCTTTTGACGTTTGATATGTATTTTCTGTTCTTGGTTGATGGATTGTTGTTCTTGACATGTGATCCCGTAAGAATCACGGTGGTTAGTTGTAACTGTTATTCTTCATTGTTAGCTTTATTTGTTAAGGGAAAGAAAAACAGAAAAAAGCTTGCTTCGTTTTGATGGTGTTTTGCTAATTAAACTTTTTTTTTTTAAAAAAAAAGAAAAAGTGAAAAGCAATCAAAGTTGAGAAATTTGTTTGGTGTATAGCTTGTTCTCAAGAGGAGGTGAACAAAATAATAGAAACGGCGAAATTAGCACAAAAATCATGGGCAAAAACTCCGTTATGGAAAAGAGCAGAGTTACTTCACAAAGCAGCTGCAATACTGAAACAGCACAAAGCTCCGATCGCAGAGTGTCTCGTTAAGGAGATAGCAAAACCAGCGAAAGACGCCGTGACTGAGGTATGTTGGAACATAAGTTGTATAAATGTTTCTAGTGGCTTCTTGATATTTGAAAAATTAAATGGTAGAACTATGGCATGTGAGAAAAAGATCTCCAATCCAATGTTTTCTGTACTGGTGCTAAATTTTAGCATTTTGAGTAGGAAAATCAATGCCTATTAATGCAATACTATTCGTTGTGCTAATAGCCTTATACATTGGAGCACAAATAAAAATGACATATACCATCACATTTTTTGGTGCCAAATATGCTATCGGTATTAAGATTTGCATTGGAGATGGTCTTAGCTGCCTCATGAAATATATATATTTTTTTTTCAAAAAATCCTTATTATACGGCTGATATTTTAGCTACACGTGTCAAAAAATGTGATATATCGTAGGCTTACTCAAAATTAAGTATGAAATTGCATGTTAGTTGGACTATTTTGGAGTACTTTTATTGCATGTAAAAGTTGTGGCTTTTGCTATCAACAATAAATGTGATCTCTGGGAAATGGGTTGTTGAAACTTTTGTGTTTGGTTTGAGTTTGATGAAGGTTGTCAGGTCAGGGGATTTGGTGTCGTATTGTGCTGAAGAAGGAGTGAGAATTCTCGGAGAAGGGAAGTTTCTGGTATCTGATAGCTTTCCAGGCAATGAGAGGACCAAATACTGCCTCACTTCAAAGGTAATTACTATTTATTTTACATGCTTTACATTTTGGCCTTGTGAGGGGTCTGGTTTGTTCTCTTAATTGGGGCACTTTGGATATTGTTATGTGTGATCACGTGAAGCCACATATTTCATTTTTTTTTGTCTTTAAAAACTAAAGGAACATGTTCTCTTGTGCCAAGAATATCCAAAGAGAATCATTGACCATTGACTGTCTATATGAGCTTCTACATAATACCATCCAGAGTACAGCATACCAAAGTACTAATGGCTTCTTCTATATGAACTTATATTGCTTGAGCTCTTATCACTTGAATGAAAAAAATGAGGCCTATTTGAGAATTTCACTTCTGTATACTAAATGGAAGCTTGATATGCCTTTCACTAATTAGAGAACTAAAGCCAGCAACAAACGAACATTCCACATTATTTGTACATAAGTTGTTTATCTCTCGATACGTGAATGGTCAAAATGCAAGAAATACGCTTTTAAATTAAATATCAGAGATGATTTATTTTTGGCTGGACCTAAATGCAGATTCCACTGGGTGTTGTTTTAGCTATCCCACCCTTTAACTATCCTGTCAATCTTGCTGTCTCAAAGATTGCTCCTGCCCTTATTGCGGGAAACTCCATTGTGCTCAAGCCCCCGACTCAGGTTCGCTTTTCACCTGCTTTATGCAATGTTGAAACTAGCACGTTTAAAGCTGTTTTATAAATCCCATTGTTTGATCCTCACAGGGTGCTGTTGCTGCACTTCACATGGTGCATTGCTTTCATTTGGCCGGTTTTCCAAAAGGCCTTGTGAGTTGTGTCACCGGGAAAGGTTCTGACATCGGCGACTTCCTCACTATGCATCCAGGGGTCAACTGTATAAGGTAAATCTCTAGCTGCTTTAGAATCATCTTATACTCTACTATTTACCCTTCTACAAACTTATAGTCTAATAACAAGCTTGTGGTATGATTGTCATTAATTAATAGGCGTGATTTTTCTCAGCTTCACAGGTGGGGACACCGGAATAGCTATCTCAAGAAAGGCTGGCATGATTCCTCTTCAGATGGAGCTAGGTGGAAAGGATGCGTGCATTATTCTTGAGGATGCTGATTTGGATTTAGCAGCGGTTAGCATCATAAAAGGAGGCTTTTCTTATAGGTGAAGACAACCACATTGATTGTAACTTAGATGGCTATTAACTTTCTTACTGATAATTGTGTGTTTGTTGTCGGTAATCAGTGGTCAAAGGTGCACAGCCGTAAAGGTTGTGTTGGTCATGGCATCGGTAGCTGATACTCTCGTCGAGAAAGTCAATTCTAAGGTGGCAAAATTAACCGTTGGGCCACCGGAGGACGACTGTGATATTACTCCAGTTGTCACGGAGTCCTCCGCTAACTTCATCGAAGGGTTGGTCATGGATGCCAAACAGAAAGGAGCCACATTCTGTCAAGAATACAAGAGGGAAGGCAACCTCATATGGCCATTGTTGTTGGACAATGTTAGGCCAGATATGCGAATAGCATGGGAAGAGCCATTTGGTCCGGTTTTGCCGCTTATTCGTATTAACTCTGTTGATGAAGGAATCCATCACTGTAATGCTAGCAATTTCGGCCTTCAGGTAATAATAATCTTCAACATCATTCTCCAGCCCGTGTTCAATTTGTTATTGGAAAACGGCCAAAAAGCTTTTGATACTACCTAGCAATAAAAGAAAGAGACGCTTTGCCTTTTTCTTTCTCCCTCCAGTGAAGTGGCGCTTTATGAATACAAGATTCTGGTTAATCAAATTATCACAAAGCATTGATGCTTTGATAATCTAAATGGCATCAGTACCAACTTTTCTCAAGATTCCACCATCGGAGCTTCATCTAGCGAGGCATATTAGAGAAAGTTAATATTTTATATATTGTCCCCTTTATTAGTAATTTGAATTACCATCTAGCGGGGCATATTTGAGAAAGTTAATATTTTATATATTGTCCCCTTTATTAGTAATTTGAATTATTTGTATCAGTTATGAAATTAGGAAAATCTATTCTATTGATTTGATAGTCTTGGTAAGTTACCTGATAGGCCGTTTTTGTGTTTGTAATTTGTATTTATATCGATCCCCGTTCATAGTGCTCATTACTAGTGAATTCCTTTTCTTTTCCTAGTCTGTGGATATAGGCAGAGGCCAAAACACGTTAAATGTGCTATTTTTTCCTTTTATTTTATTCTTTAATGTTTAATAGTAACCGAATTATTTCCGATTCTAAAAATAAGAAGTTCTCAATTTATAATCACAGGGCTGTGTGTTCACTAAAGACATAAACAAGGCAATCTTAATCAGCGACGCGATGGAGACCGGTACTGTGCAGATCAACTCGGCGCCAGCTCGCGGACCGGATCATTTCCCTTTCCAGGTGCATTTCTATTACTTTCCTAGATGTATTGAGGAAAAAAAAAAGTGTTTGATTCAACTTTTGTGAATGAGTAAAGTGAGGGAATTCGTACCTTGATTCGAATCATGGTTCATTGTTCGCTATAGTGTTTTATCTCACAAAAAATACACGTAAATTAAAAATGGTTCTAATCTCATGAACCAAACGTATCGTAAATTTTGTTGTGCGGCAGGGTTTGAAGGACAGTGGCATTGGTTCTCAAGGGATTACTAACAGCATTAACATGATGACAAAGACAAAGAGTACTGTAATCAACTTGCCGTCTCCTTCATACACAATGGGATGATGCGCTTTGGAATGAGAAGGCAATACAATATATATAGATTGTGCTATGGTCTATGTATCGGTATATTCACATGTTATGTCTTGCCATATAGCAAAGAAAAGGAAAATGTTGGGTTTTGAGCAGAGGAATGAGGATAGAAATGATCAGAGGTTTAGAGTGCTGTTATGTAATAAATCTTGTACGCATATGAGAGAAATCAAGTAATAAATATTAATAAATACGTGAAGTAGATTTTTTTCTTTGAGAATAAATTGTGATGTGTGAAGTTCATTTATAGAGCTTTAAGCTATATATATATATATATATATATCGTTGAGGTATCAGTTAAAAAAGCCGTTTATTGTTGGTGTGAGACAAAAAACCCCTTTTAGTAAAAGATTACCTCACCCGTGAAAAGAAAAACGTCCGCGCATGTAAAAATTTATGGAGTTGCTTAAAAATGTAAAATCACAAGTATACGAAAGTTAATATCTTATTTTTTTTTTCTCTTGGAGGAAATTATCGTATTTTTCTTTTTTTTTTTTTTT